CCACTTAATTCCACACGCCACTCTCCCCTCTCTCCATATTCATTCATCTTTTTTAATTCTCCACTCAGCACCTTTAATCCTCCATTACTTCCCCTTTAATATAAATACCCCCTCTCCCTTCATTCCTCCACCAATTGTGTAACCCCCAACCCATTAACCCACTCTAAACTCTCCCTCTCCTCTTTGTGTTTTGGCCAAGCAGTAGCCAAGGGAGGGAGTTCTGGCGAGGAGGCGAAGAAGAAGGAAGAGAAGAAGGTTCACACGTGAATCTGTTCGCACGTTGGTGTCGGATAAATGAGGAGAGAGAGGTGGGACGATGATTGTGTGATGCACGACAAAGAAGACGCCATCACCGATGGATTTCACTACGCCACACACGATTACGCAATTGTAGAGGTGCAGAGCACAAATTTGTTCGGGAGTGGGTTTATCGGTCTTCGTACTATTTAAAATATTTTTTTTGAAGAAAAATTAACTCCTACTTCCTTCGTCCCTAAAAATCTTTCTCCTTTCTTTTTTCATCTGTCCCAAAAAATATTTCTTATTTCTATTAGAAATTCACTTTTGCCCTTTACTTTTTTCATACCCTATTAACGCCGAATTAAATCCGGCGTATGACGAAGAATAGAACAATCGATATCGAAAGGGAATTGCTAGGGGAGAAAGTCCTCTCTAGGGTTTATTCATACAAAAAATATAATCAAGTCTCCCTAAAAATTGCCCACAAGCCAGGATTAAATAGCTGAAGAACTGTAAACAAAATAGGAAACCCTAAAATGACAGAAAAAGTCCCAAAAATATAAAAGTGTAAAATTAATGGACTAAAGATCAGAATTTGGGGTCGAAGGTGAACCCCAATGGGTCTTTGACCAATTTCTCCTGAGCATCTCGTCGAGACCTTTCCGGAATGGGGTAGCCCGCTGAAATCGAACACTCGTAGCCAAAGTTATGGCCCAAATAGTGTGGCGGATCCGACAATTCAGCCTCGTCTGAGTCACCTGTTACTGCATCACCTACCTATCACATAATACCTTTTTACTAATAATCTACCCACCAAATCATACTTTTACCCATTATATCAAAGAACTTTTTTGAAAATTCAATACCAACATACACTTTCCTTAAATATCTTAAAAATCAATAACTCCCATATTTTTAGGACTGGAGGGAGTATTTTGAATATATAAGTTAGAGACTTCTATTTTGAGTATATGTCTAATGATTTACTCCTATTTAGGAGGTTTTATTTTATGATACCTTGAGATATTAAATTAAATATATCTTTTGGTATCACTAAATACCATATATGGGTTCTAATATCAAATTTGATAGAAGAATAATTTTATTTGATTTATTTTATAGAATACCTTTAAAGTATTATTTTATCAAATTAATATATCATGTAGCTTTTATTTAATTATAATAAGTTAATGATCAATCTTAATTGACTATAAAAAGTCAAAACTAGACAAAATACTCTAAGAAAAACGGTGTAATATGTAATATAGATCTAATGTATGTAATTGATTGTTAAAGTTCGTACAATTTGACTAAAAAATGTCGAGTTATGCTAGTCGTTTGGATTGGAGGGAGCTGAGTATGATTTGTGTTAAGTTAAAAAAATCGATTAAATTTTTGTAAAATTCAAAAATCCTCTAACATAAGAGGAAAAAATTATTAATTTCCAAAATTAAAGTTTCATGTTTTTCTTGAAAAAAATTTATTGCATTGTGACCATGTGATACTGTAGATTAAGATCTCTTAGTGTTTGTTGGTATTATATGATTTCATTATTGAAATTATAAGTTTTATTTTCATAATAAAAAGTATGAAGAATTCATTTTTATTTTTTCTTTATGTTTAATTTCTATTTGAGTCTTTCTCCCTTAAATATGCGAGTAATAATTAAATGAAGTATGTACGTTCATTTATTTTTTGAATGTTAAAAAGTTACTAAAATTCAAAAACAAAGATTTCAATAATAAATTTAGTGTTAAATTTCGATATCATATTAGTGTTAAAATAGATTATCCGTGAAAGAAAATAAACTACTGATGTATATATATGAAGGAGAACGATGAGGATGTGTGAGAGTTCAATTATTTGTGCTCCGTATAGTTCCTTATATCTATCGGGCACGGAATAGTCTCTAGCTTGAGATTATACTACTCCCTCCGTTCCTCAAAACTCTTTCTTTTTCGTTTTTTTTTTTTGCTTTCCACAAAACACTTCCACTTTCTATTAAAAAAACACTTTTACCCTTACTTTTTCATACCATACCTATCATATCATACTTTTTCACTAATAACCAAACTATCACATTTTACTTTTTCCCATCACATCAGGGGCAAAATTGGAAAGTCAACCAAAATTACACTTTCCTTATTTTTGCTCAAAGTCAAAACTGGAAGTGTTTTGTGGACCGAAGGGAGTATTATTTACTCATCTTTCTTATAATCCTTTCGGGTCGGAGGGTACGATGCCAAGGGTTAGCGTTCCCCTTATGAGCAATAGCGGGCTGATTAATTAATGGAATTGAAGACGTACAGTACAGCAGCTAGCGCCTTAGATCTTCATCTCGAATCAACTTTTTCTAGGGGCTAAGCTAGTGGCTACCTAGATCCTTTTGGACAAAACTAGCTGCCATCATATATAATTCCACCACCACCCCATCCCCCATTAAAAATTGTTTTTTTTTCAAAAAAGAAAAAAAAGATGAACCTCTAGGGAATCTAACCCGCGGAAAAATAAAAAGTAAAAATTATATCGTTCAAAAATACATAAAGAATTTTATGAAATAAGATGCGATAGAAATATTTTATTTTATCAAATGGGTAACTAAATTGAGTAAACAATCAAAAGTTATCAAGAACATGAAATAGTAACTGTGGTATTCTTTTTTGGATCGATGGAATATTAATAGCAACGAGTAAACCCTGCATATGGTACTTATAGAGACCTTATGCTTAGTATATCTTCTAACGCAGTAATCTGAAATCAAACTCGTGAATAACCTCCTGGACGCTCATTTTTTTTGCCAACTGCATAACGCCACAGGCGAAAATATTTGTTTTCTTAAAAAATAAAATTCAAATTTTGACAATGTTTTGTCAAATTTATTTTTGATTGATATTTTAACTATTGGGGTAATGAAATTAAATTAAGGTGGCTATAAGCTTAAGGGGAATTTACTTTAATAGTACCAAAACATAATGATTTTCCCCAAATAGCATTACATGTATTTTTTTTAAATGTAGCATTTTTAGTCATTGTTCAAGTAAATTTTTGTCATTATTGGACATTATGGACATTATTATGTGCTATTTAGAAATAAAACAATTTAAGTGTTATTTAGAGAAATGACTTAAGTTTTAGTGTTATATACTGTAAATATTTCATAAACTTAACTAATACGGAGTACGAGTAAAAACTTGACAATGTTCAATTACGATCTATTTGAAATTATACTCCATCCGTTTGGAAAAACCCTTCCCATTTTGATTTGGGGCAAAAATAAGGAAGTGTTAAATTTATAGTTGATTTCCAATTTTGCCCCTGATGTGATCCGTAAAAGTAAGATGTGATGGATAGATTATTAGAGATAAAGTATGATGTGATATGTAGGGTATGAAAAGGTAAGGGTAAAAGTGGTTTTTTAATAGAAAAGGAAAGTGTTTTGTTGGAAGTGGAAAAAATGAAAGAGGAAGTGTTTTTTAGAACGGATGGAGTATTTATTAATGGTTAAAGTATGGAATTCTTGTCTAAAAAATTTGAATTGTAAAAAGGATTTTGAGAGTATAGCTTGACGGTATTATTTATGAATGAGAATTTTATTTTAGAACACGAAGAGTATAAAATAAAAATAGTGCTAACATAGTCCCGTGGGTAATTGTTATGGTGTATTTTCTTCGATCCCTAATTGGAAAAGAAAAAAAAAGTCCCCATAATAATGGAGAATTATAACTCGATACATAGATAAAGGAGATGGTGATAATGTCTCAATTGCATGCATCCATGTATGTATGGTCATGAGGTGATTGATGTACTTTGGTGGTGCCCTATATAGTACGCCTTGGCCTATGTAAAGACGGTAAAGTGCGTTTTCTTGAGTTTACCCCAAGATGGTATATCTTCTCACACATATAGACACTTGTTAGAGTTCATCCCACATCGGAAGTCCAAAAGTAAAATAATCGGTATATAAGCTCTTGAATTGAACTAATTAATTAATTGGATTCAATCTTTCAATATGGTTCACCCTAAGTATCTTATAGCCTAGCCGAATTATCTCTACTTCATCTCAAATTCTATCATGGTAGCAGAGCAGGTTTTGGCCCACTTCATTTGTCAAGGTGTCCGTCTAGACCGGCATATAAGTTCTTGAGTTAAACTAACTAATTGATTAAATTCAATCTTTTAATTTGGTTCAGCCCAAGTGTTTTATAGCCTAGCCTAATTATCTCTACCCCATCTCAAATTCTATCAACACTCATTGCCTGTGTTTCACACAGATAATGATTGTCTGTGTGTGTCTGTTAGAAGATAGTGTACATTTGAGATACACTAACTTTTTCCATGTAAATTAAACTTGCTTCATCTCAAAATTATTATTTTAGTTTGACTTTTTATTGCATGGTAATTTTTCATCCCAAATTATAGAATATATATTAACTATACTATAACTTTGATATGATTAATTTATTTTAAAATTTAGTTTCGATATGACAAATTTTTAATATTTATTTATTTAAAATTATACTTTGTATTTAATTTTTGTAAAAATAAAAATGTCATAATATAAAAATAATACTCCCTCCGTTTGAAGAATTTCTTTTCATGCATTATTCATACAATCAATATTTATTCGCTTTGTTTTATTATTTTCTAAAAAAATAGAGCTTGTTAGGCATGTTCAAAATTTTTAAGATAAAAAGAGAATGATGAGGGACGGCAACTGTTAGGCATGCTCGTTGGGACGACGGCTGTTAGGCATTACCTTTGCTATGATATCATGATACTACTTGATAATAATTGGTCTTAGTAAATAATTGAGGTTTAATTCATCCCTATCATTATTACAAAAACGTGTTGGAAATTTATTTGAATTCAAAATTGAATTTTAAATAAATGGACATGCACAATCCTTTGAAGAGACATGTTCATTCTTAAATAACATAAGAAAAATTTGCACTAAATAAGACTAAAACATAAGTCATTTCCCGATGTAAGACTTAAACATTTTTATTCCTTAAATAGGACTTAACAATGCCTAGTGGGAAGAATAATGTCCAGTAATGGTGGACATTTACTTGAATAATGACTAATGGATATTGACCAATGATCCTACATTGGGAAATAAAAGAGTATGATCCTATTTTAAGAAAGTCATTATGTTTTAATCTTATTTAGGTAAATTACCCATGACATAAGTCTTGAATATTTATTTTGAATTTAAATTAGAATTTTTTTAAATGAATTAGTGTATTTTCTTACTAAAGAGACATGCCTATTCATAAAGGGGCGCATCCTTCTCTATAAATAGAGCCATTGTCACAATATGATATAGCAGGAAAAAAGCTGGAAAACATTTTAGGATGCACAAAAGAATAATTTATTATTATTATTATTATTATTATTATTATTTCATTGATATCTAGAATATTGAAGAAATAATTTAATATTTATTTTTCGTGAAGTCCTTCTACAATAATGAAATATTAATTGATGATGATATATACATGAGTATTAATTATTATTTCATGGATTATCTAAAATATTGAAGAAATAATTTCCTCGGAGTTTGTTCGATGATAATGAAATATTAATTAACAATAACTATACTTTTATAATTTATTTTTCATGTGGTTTTCCTCATGTTTGGAAGCAACTCGTGTTATTAAAGTACTCTAGCAAATTGTATCGAAAAGCAACCAAATAATTTGGTCTACTTCTAAAATAGGGTAGATTATAATATGGTAGATAAGAAACTTTTACGAAAGCGTTTCCATAGATCACGCGTCTTGAAGGTTTTTGTTAGAGTGCATCCCACATCGGAAGTCCAAGAGTAAAATAATCCGGTATATAAGCTCTTGAGTTAAACTAACTAATCGATTGGATTCAATCTTTTAATGTGGTTCAACCCAAGTGCCTTATTACCCAATCGAGTTGTTCATACCCATTCCAAATTCTATCATGGTATCGGAGTAGGTTTTGGCCCACCTCGTTTGTCAAGGTGTCCGTCCAGACGTTCATTCCTAGCGGCCCGTTAGTCTTTAGCCCAGTTGTCCGTATGGAGTATGTATCCAACGGCCTGTGGCCTATTAACACGATTGCTCGTATGGAAGTCCATACCCAGCGGCTCGTGGTTCTTTAGGTGTTGGCGCTCAAAAAAATATATTAAGGGAATGAGAGTTCATTTGCAAGTGGTCAACCGGTTAGATTCAAAATGACCCAGTTGTCTACTTGAGGGGGAGTGTTAGAGTGCATCCCACATCGGAAGTCCAAGAGTAAAATAATCCGGTATATAAGCTCTTGAGTTAAACTAACTAATCGATTGGATTCAATCTTTTAATGTGGTTCAACCCAAGTGTCTTATTACCCAATCGAGTTGTCCATACCCATTCCAAATTCTATCAGTTTTCCAATTAATTTTTACCACCATGTTCTAAATTACATGTGGCTTGATCCCCTTCATTGGTGTACGTAGGCAACTTAGAGTGTGTTGTGTTTCTAAGTGTAGTATAATCTGGTCTAATTGCATTTGTTCTTAAAAAGCTGATGCAAAAGGCTAAACTTTGTGTATCACTTAGACTTTGTCCATCGGTTTTTTAAAAAAGCGATGCAAAATATCATTTAGTTTTTTGGAAGGACCTTTTGCATCAACTAATTTAAATAACCAATGCAAAAAGGCTTTTGCATCAGTAATTCTAATAATCGATTCAAAAGTTCCTTTAGTTTTTTAAAAAATTTTTGAAATGACTTTTTGCATCAGTTATTTAGAAACAATAGATGCAAAAAACTCTTTTTTCTAATTTTAAATAAAAGGGCTTTTAATTTGCATCAGTTATTTAAAAATAGGTGATGCAAAAGACCATTGTGATTTTTTTACCCACCTATGCGGCTCCACATTTTTTAATCGTCGATTCATTCTTAATCAACGTCTAATGATCTTGATCTATCTCTGTCCTCTCATTATCACGATCTGCATCTTCTTTTAGTAATGCCTTCTTGAGAATGGATTCAAATTTTGGATTACCATGAGAGAAGTCTCTGATCTCCAGAAGCTCTGATCTCAATACAAGCCGAATCTCCCTTCTGGTCTTCAGGTATATCCTCCCCATTCATACATTCATCTTCTTTTCACTTTTTACGAGTATTTTTTCCCGTAAGTCATGTATCATTTTTTGCGTCAACCATCTATATCACCTTTTAGATGCCGGATATCATATTTTTTTCTTTTCGAACCTTTTCTCTCGCATCAAAGCAAGGGACAATGTCCTCGTGATACAAGTCAATACTATCAACACTGCATCTTCAAGCTCCAAGACTTCGTCTTCTCAAATTGAGCACAAAACGACCTGAGCATAAATCCAAAACGACGAATAAAATTCAAGCACGCGCCTTTGCAAATCATTTTAATCGTCGAATGATGATTAAAAAAACTTGAAAATTAGGGCTTAGCTTTTTGGGCGGCGGAAGAAGCTTTTTGTTTTTTTGTTTTAAATAAATGAGCTTTTGCATCGGTTATTTCAAAACAACCGATGCAAACGCCCTTCCCTATATTCTTGGGAATGCCTTTTGAATCAGTTACTCTGAAAAACCAATGCAAAGCCCTTCCCAAAAATCCTTTAAAGGCCTTTTGAATCAATTATTTGATACTAGTCTTCCGTGAGGATCGGTTGGCGAAGGAGATGAGAGTGCTGCCTTTGCGCGGCAGGGAGAGTTACGGGAAAGAGAAGAGAGAAAAAACTAGGGTTTAGGGGAATAATTATCTTCTTATTAATATTGGTAAGGGTTAACACCCATTTTAAATAGAAGCTAGGGTTTCTCCGTTCTTCATTAAACTAGTTTTCTACCCTGTCGATTCAAAGAAAGCATCGAGGTAAAAAACCGAAAAGAAACCTTTGAAGGAGCTTATAAATTGCCCACCTAACAAAAATCTAAATTACAAAATATTTACAAAATATTAAAAATCTCGATATCGTCGGGATTTCCCAACGTTCCTTCTGGGACATATACGTGTCGGGTTGGTGTTCGAATCACCCATATCATCCTGTACGGTATCGACTCCCCCGCCCATGGAATTCGTCGTGTCCTCAAGGCGAAGATTGGGATAGTGTTGTTGTAGCGTTGTGGTCGATTCCCAGGTAGCGTCAACATCAGAGCCATCCGACCATCGGACTAACCACTATTCCAAGGCCACGCCATCAACTAGCACAGTGTGCTGATCCAAAATGGCCACGGGAACCGAGAAGGGCCATCCCTTAAGAAAAACATCGGGCAGGGATGAACTATGGACCAGCTGATCCTGCTGAACGAATGGTCGGAGCAAGGATACGTAAAAAACATCGTGGATTTGGCTCCCCTCTCGTAACTGCAGGCGATAAGCAACTGGACTAACCTGCTCAACAACCTTGAAGGGTCCATAAAATCGGCGAGCGAGTTTGGTGGAGAGCGGCCGAGTGAAAGAATGTTGACAGTGAGGCTGGAGCTTCAACAAAACCAAATCACCGACGTCGTAGGACACCTCCCTCCGATGTTGATTTGCCCAAGATCGCATGTGTTGCTGCATTTTAGACAAATACAGCTTTATATCTTGAAGCAATGCCGCGCGCTCCCTAGTAAGTCCTCCACGCTGGCGACCCGAGAATGGACCAGCATGGTCGCAAAGAGCACAGGCGGGCTGAGACCATATAGAGCCTGAAATGGTGTCATGTCGATCCCCTCATGATGTCTGTAACTAAGGGCTAACTCTGCCCAAGGAACCAAAGCCGCCCACCGAGTCAGTCGTTCGTATATAAAAGAAACAGTGCTTCACTACTATCTCAACAAATAGCTGTGCAACTTTTGATGCGTCATAACCTGCAGCCAACGGACCAAAATGGTTGTACTTTGACAACCGGTCGACGATGACCATGGTAACCGAGAAGCCGGGAAGGGGGCAGACCCGTCACGAAATCCATGGAGGCCGAATCCCACACCCGCTCCGGAATGCGTAGGGGCTGCAATAGGCCACTGGGCTTCCGAGTAAAGTACTTTGTAGCCTGGCATGATGGGCAAGAAGCCACAAACGCGCACACCACACGACGAAGACCGGGCCAGTAGAAAACGTTGGCAATCCGACGAAACGTTCGATCAACCCCCTGATGACCCGCCATTGGGGTGCTATGGAACTCATTCAAAATCTGATCCCACAAGGAAGAAGTGGGGCTGATATAAATGCGCCGCTTATAATAAAGGACCCCAGCGTGAGAAATAACCTCGGTAGGGGCCAAACCAGCTTGCACGGCCGCATGCAGGCCCTGTAAATCGTGAAGTGTAGCATTCTCCTTCTGGATCACATTCATGAATAGGGGGATAGTGTAACGCCCCGAAACATACCCTAGAATTATTATTAAATAATTATTCGTTTAAACAAATTTGTTTTGATTAAAATAAATTGTTGTTGGGCTTTGGGCCGATACGAAATATGTTTTGATATCTATTATCGCACTCTGGATAAATCTCATAGAGATAAATCCAATATATTGACTTTTTGTGTGGTCTTGATTGAAAACCTGAGTACAGACCCAAATCAAGAGTAAATGAAAAATTTGTTTATAATGTAAATATTTAAATGATTTGTTAAAATAAATCATGAGAATAATTGATATGAATTAAATATGAGAACCTTTTATGAGAAAAGTCAATTAAACCAATTTTTACTATATCAAAGTCAACCACCCAAAAATATGATGTCAGAAAAAGTATTACAAATAATTATGAAAAGTATGTCGTTGAATAGAATTCGACTGTCTGATCGCAACGGTGCGAACGGATTTCAATTTGGAGAAAGTTTGACCAAAAAGTGTACCCCAACTGGAACCAAAATTGGTCCCAATCAGGGAGACTGTGCAGACGGCGCCCC